TCAGCAGGAATAGTCACTGTCTTGGTTTCAGCCAGGGTAGAGTTAATTTTCCTCACAGAAGCTAGTGTGAGACTATGTTTTGGATTTGGGATGAGAAAACGTTGATAAAATGCTGGTGTTTTGAGTTATTGCTAAGTAGTGAAGGACAGTCCAGCTTCTTGTGCTGGCCTGCTAGCAAGAAGGCTTGGGGTTCGGGAAGCTGGGAGGGGACACAGCTGGGACAGCTGACCCAGGCTGGCCAAAGAGATATTCCATACCATATGACATCATGCTCAGTATATAAAGCTGGGACAAAGAAGAGGGAGGGGTGGAGGGACATTTGGAGTGATGGCGTCTGTCTTCCCAAGAAACCATTATGCGTGATGGAGCCCTGCTTCCCTGGAGATGGCTGAACACCTGCCTGCCCATGGGGAGCAGTGAATGAATTCCCTATTTTGCTTTGCTTGTGTGTGCAGCTTTTGCTTTACCTATTAAACTGTCTTTATCTCAAACCATGAATTTCCTCATTTTTACTCTTCCAATTCTCTCCCCCATCCCACCATGGGGGAGTCAGTGAGAGGCTGCGTTGGTGCTTAGTTGCCAGCTGGGGCTAAACCATGACAGTCACACTCACTTTGAGTGCCACATTTCCCAGGAGCCATGTGACTTCTTTTTGCATTAGTTGTTTTTGCTTTGAGAAGGATCACCTTGTTCCTTCAGATGTGTTAATAAAAATTTCTGCCTTCTAGCTACGGACTGCTGCAGCCCAACTCAAATGCAACAGTAAATGCTGCAGCTCACAGAATCACAGAGCAGTTGAAGTTGAATGGGTCCTCTGGAGGCTGTCTTGTCCAAACCCCTTGCTCAAGCAGGGTAGCATACAGCAGGCTGCCTAGGACCATGATCCATAAACAGTACAAGGTTAACCCAGAACTTCCCCATTCTTTACAAAGGTCCCCAACCATAAGCCTGAGTCTCCACATGAGGCTTACAGACTACCTGCTTTCTAGAAAATAACGGTAGGACAAGTATAATGAGTGACACTTTAACTCTAGATGCTCATTAAAATAGTTACTATATGAAAACTGATGATTTAATGCTTCCCGTTGTCTTATTATTTCTCTTTAGATAGCCACTGGCCTGCTGATCACATTTGAGGCTTAAAGTTACGCAGCGAATTCCAGGTTTAGACATCTCCGTGACTGTTCTAAATATTCACAAATCATGAGCAGTTATTGATCCCACAGATGCCCTGTTTTACCAATACCACTGTAATTTCAGGCTTCTAGATAAAGATTTGGTTGCCTTTCATGAGGTACTTATATTTTAGAAATATTGGCTTGAGACAGCATTTCCAGCATTACTGTCTCTGCAGTCTGTTGGCTTTTCCAGTACACAGTGTGTTGTAACAGCCTTT